CTCCATTGACGGTTTAACGTTTCTTCCCCCTCCATAATCATGCTCTCTAAGGTCTGGAAAGCTACTGCTATCAAGGGGTTTACACAATCCAAAATCCGAGAGCTTCATATGGCCGTTACGGTCAAGCAATAAATTATCAGGCTTGATATCCCTACAAAGAGATGACAAAGAGTATAAAGATGTTATGAAACACGTCTCCTTTTTTCTTTCTTTTCATGCGTCTTCCAGGGGAGCAGAGGGAAGACATGAGGAATATTCATTCCCGAAATACATATTATCAGGCTTGAAAATTCATAACATAGAACATGCAATATGAAACTATTGGTCCAAAGAGCAGTAAACTATCCCATTTGCTATAAGCTATGAATAATCCGTAAGAGGAAACTGACAAGGAGGCAAATACTACCCATGAACCATGGGAAAATTGCTAGATTGTCTAACCCACAGATAAAACAGATCCAAAGAGAAAATGGTCAAAAAAGTAAAAATGGAAAACCTGTGGATGTAGTTGCGCTTGTGGATGGATTCAATTGCAAGAACTGTCTGGCCAACGTAAAACCTTGCCTCATCCTCCGTTAAGGTATCCTTCCGCATCAGTAATGTCATCATGTCACCCCCAGGGAGATATTCCATTACAAGATACAGATATTCATCATCCTGAAATGAGCAATAGAGCTTGACAATGCATTCACTGTCAACTTCAGCAAGAAGATTCCTTTCTGCTTTAACATGCTCCACCTGGACAAAGAGACTCCAATCTTTTAAATGCAATATTCCTTCTCTTTTCAATATAAACCTGTTTCTGACACCTTTAAATGTATATTTTACAGAAAGTTCCAAGATCAGAATGACGAAGGTCATATGAGGTATACAGATAACTTTTCAATCTTAGTAAAGCTATTATTAGGTTTCGGTGCACATTGGTCCTTAGCAGGGTAGCAAAAATACCAATTCTTGGAACCAACAGGCAACCCAAAAATGATATAGCCTTATTGAGTTAATTATCTCTTATCATCAATGCAGCCAGTTTCATATATTAACAGTGCATATGGGAGTTTAAAGGGAAAACGGACTACAGTAAGTTGAATAAAGTAGACTAGAGTAGAGCTAATAAATAATGTCCCTCATCTTCTTTGGAAATTGAGAGCAAAAACAAGTTGAATTCACCAGCAAAGATTTTGTGCTATTACCACCATATCCCAATTTGAAAATATTACTAAAATAAAAATATTGAAGAGCACAGGAAGGACCACGAGCTGAAATCATTGAAATGAAATACTCTGCTCCGATCCTCCCAATTTGGTAAAATTTTTAAAATGTAAATTTTAGAGAGGGTCCGGAGGTTTTTGATTTCTCCTCTCCGCTTGTAGAAAACTCTCAAACAGGGTAAAGTAAAACCTTTTACTCCCTTCAGTCTTCTGCTCTCCTTTCAAACACACTAGAAATGTTAAGGAATCAGGAAAACATTCTGAACCAAACAGTACCTGGCCTC